ACTGCTGGGGGCTGGAGCATAGGAGAGGTGGGGGGGACACTGCTGGGGGTCAGAGAGGTGGGGGGGCACTGCTGGGGGATGTAGCGTAGGAGAGGTGGGATGGGGGCACCCCAGACTGCTGGGGGCAGGTAGCAGAGCAGCAGCGACCTGGCCTGGCACCGCAGGCCCTTCAGGACTCCACCGGTCCCCGGTCCCCGTTTGGCTGGACAGGAAGTGCCCTGGGTCCCCTGAAGGGAGGCTGTGATTCATGGGGCTAATATCTCCCTTTGATTCTCTAGACACAAAGGGGCTGGGCCCAGCCGAGCTCAGCAGCCTTTGGGATCAAAGGGCAGGAGAGGGGCACCTGAGCGCTCGGCAGGCGAGAGGGGCACCGACCCGCCGGCTGGAACCTCCCCCCGCAGCCGGGGGGGGGCTGGGGGCTGGACACTGAGCACTGCCTGCTGGAGCCGCCCGGGCTGCCAAATGAGCTGGGGGGAGGCTAATCTCCGCTCTGATTAGGCTGAATTCCCAGCAATGGAGGTTTCTCCTTTTTTCTCCCCCCTCCGTGATAACAAATAATAATATAATCCCCTTAATCCCTTCCCCGAGGAGCCAGCATTCCGCGCAGAGACAGGAAGCACAGAGCTTCTGCCACCGCTGATAACTCCGACAATCTGGCCGATGGAAAATGCTGTCCTTGGGTTGCATTTACTCCCCGGCTGAAGATCTTTGCCCTTCCCTCTCTGAGGACTCACCAAGGCCCCCTCTCCACACGTCCCCAGCCCCTCCCTCACCACATGTTCATCAGGTTGTTCCCGGTCCCTTTCTCCCTCATGGGAGGCCCTGCCCAGGCTGCCTGGAACCAGAGCCAGAATGGTATTTACCAGTCCTGTGTCTGGGCCCTGACTACCCATTGACATAGCACTTTCGCCTACTCACTCCCAGCTGTCACTGGCTTCTGCTGGCAAGACAGACCTTGGGGCAGCACAGTGGACAGCAGGAGGCTAGCAGGGCTGTACCAGATTTAAAACAAACCAAAGGAAGTTTTTCTTCATGTGGCGCACAGTCAACTTGTGGAACTCCTCGCCAGAGGATGTTGTGAAGATCAGGACTTTAACAGGGTTCAAAAAAGAATTAGATCAATTCATGGAGGAGAGATCCATTCATGGCTATTAGCCAGGATGGGCAGGGATGGTGTCCCTAGCCTCTGTTTGTCAGAGGCTGGAAATGGATGACAGGAGAGGGCTCACTTGATGGTTATCTGTTCTGTCACTCCCTCTGGGGCATCTAGCATTGGCCCCTGTCAAAAGACAGGACACTGGGCCAGATGGATCTTTGGTCTTATGTCCCCTCACTGGACACAGCAGCCACCTTGGAGTCAGCCCTGCCATTTCCCACCACTCAGCGACACAAGCAAAACCCATATGGTACCGGCCAAGGCCCCTCTACTACACACACCCAACTGCAGCCTAGCACACAAACCCATACGCCCTGATTCCAGAGCCCCCTTTGTGTCCCATCTGCCCCACAACCACGAAGAGCTCAACGCAGTGCCCCGCTCTCCTCACTAGGATCACGCTCCCCCCAGAGCCAGGAGCTCCGACTCTTCAGTCCTCTACTCGAATCTCTAAATCGCACTCCTGCCTCAAGCCAGGAATAGAACCCAGGCATCCTGACTTCTTCCCTCCCTTCCTCCCTATCAGTTCTGGTGTCTGGATTTTGTTTGAGACAGTGGCTGCGTACAGCATTGAGCGCGCACGCAGCACGTAAATACCACCCTCCTCCCCCATAAAACAACCTTCACTTTTATTCCCTCGCTTTCCTTTTCCCTTGCTTTGCTGATCTCAGCTCCGCCGGTCTCCAAAACAGCTTTCAAAGTTACTGGAGG